GCGGTCAAGGGACTTGGCAGCAAGTAAAAATCTACCCAACTCTCATATTTTGACTGACATGACCATCTTTTGATCGATCACTCCCGTGTTTCTCCAGCAGTCTATCTCCAAATACACATATGAGAGGATCATGTTTTAATTCAAGGCACACCTTGTCAATTACCATTATCTTAACAATGTGTGAGCATCTTTCTGATGGCTGTCCTTTGTATGGACGGAAAGCGGAGGCAGCAGCTTGAACTCTTCTTTTTTTCTGGGATTTAACTTCTGACATTGTTCTGCGACACCATTTCTCATGTTTCTATAGTTCTTCTGTTATGAAGAACCCATAGCAAATGTTGCATGGCAAATAATCTTCTGCATTTGCATGTTTTGATGGCTGTCTATAGGTTACTATCTCACCCTCACCTCTGGATTCTGACAGAGTCATCTGTGGCACAGTCCTCCTGAAAGAACAAGCAGATTAGAATAGTAGTTATTCAAATAATGAACCTATAAAGTTTTGCAGTTGGGCTGCATTGCTGTAGCCCACACCAAAATAAAAAGCATAAATATATACATACCAATTCCTCTTGTGCCTTCCTTTTTCTGTAAAATTCAGAGTAAATTTGAAACATATTGACAATGTTACAGAAAAACCAGTACAAATAAAGCATACATCAGCTTTATTTTCCTGCATAAAGTTGGCATATCTTCAAAGACAATTTAAATAACTTTAACTTGTGAGCCTCTATTTAAATAAATAACTCAAAGCAAACATTAGCTTAATAGCTTCACAAATACCAATGCTGGAGAATGAGCCAGAAGACTAAACCAGAACTTAGTTTCAAACCAAAACAACTAACTAGTTTCATAAATCTTACCTGGACAATTTTGCAGTTTTTTTTCATTGTCTAATTCAGCTTTCACAGTTCTCTCCTTGTCGTATCTCTCAGCACACTGATTGTGGTGCTACCGCAGTGTTGAGGCATGCATTTAATGCAACATTAGCTGAAGGTGAGGATCAAGCGCCAGGTGTTATAAATATTGCTTATTCCCACCCACTTCTAAGCTGCCCTGTCTACGCCCTTTTAAAGACACAGGCAGTATTGCATGAATTCAGCTTAAGCAGTATTTAATCAGAGCATGATACCTTTAGAGCACAAGCTGGCACACATTTTTCTGACTTTACTCTCTGTATGTGGACATCTTCTGAAACTTAGACAGATCATTCTTTAGGATGAAAGGAGCCTATTCTAGTATTTTCCTTGTGTGGACCACCCAAAAGGTCCACATAAGAAGAAATGTCCACACAAGAAAGGTGTTCCATCATGGGTTGGTTCACACAAGTGTATAAAGACAAACCCACACACACACACACACACACACACACACACACACACACACACACACACAGTAGTTGTCAAGTAGGTACAATGCATTGTCAGTGTCTGTCAAGAGATTAAATATTAAATTGTCAGACTAGCTGTAAGCTTCACAGGGGGACACTCATGACTTTTTTTAGGATAAATGCGTTATCACTTTGGAAGACACGATTATATTGAAAAATGATGTGCAGTTAATTCATGTTTACATGGCATAGTCCCACACTGTCAGGTACCTGTAAGCAGTAGTCAATTCTCTCCAGGATAGTTGAGAAGTTAGGTCTGTCTTCAGGCTGGTGCTGCCAACTCTGAGTCATTATACGGTACCTAAACATACACATGAATGGGCAGACACACACACACACACACACACACACACACACACAAAGAGAAACACTTAATGAAACAATTTTCTCCCACTCCATGTAGAGGAGACAAAAAAACAAAACAAAACAAAACAGAGGCTGACCGACATGTCTCTCCTGCTCACTTAACAAATGCCAGATTGATTTCTTCTGAATAAAAAGTCTTAATAATTGTTTTGATCGCTTCAAGCAAGTGTAACCTCTAGCCAGCCTGAGTGGTTGAGTTAAATGGGTGATGCCGATTACTAAAGCATTTCAACTTCAAATTAATAGAACACCACAGGGCATGTTTATGAAAATGAAAAAACACTAGCAGGGAACATGTGAGATAGGTTGAGAATAGCATGAGGTGTAATCTTCCAAGCTGTAGCTAACAGGTGTGAAGCAGAAAGGCAAAATCACAGGGCAGCTGGAATGTGATTAACAGAGAGAGAGAGAGAGAGAGAGAGAGAAAGTGAAAATGTGTGTGAGCATCTGCCCATGTATGTTGTAGAACAGTTCACATGGGAGGCAGTATCTCAAAAAAGAGAAGGCAAAAAAAAATAATTTGGAAATGGTTTCTCAGCTCCCTATCAGCTCCCCATGACTTCTTCAAAATTGGGATGCAAACATGAAAGAAACTTCCATGAAACAGCTTCCACGCTGACAGCATTCTCCTAGAAAATGTTTCTGACCCCATCCAGGTCACAACTTGTTTACATGGCAGTATCTGGAAATCATCAGAGCCTTTCATGTCTGCCTCTCTCTGTTTGCTTTTTCTGCCAATATAAAATGGGCCTCTTATACAGTTGAGCATCTTTCCCTCTTGTTTTTGTTATGGAGAAGCTTATGAATGTATTCAGTGTGTGTCTGTGGGTCAGCACTTACACTGGGCCGGGGCAGTTTTTCGGTGGGTCCATCCTTCCACCGTTGGTTACAAACTCCAACACTTCTTGGTTACTGCGACTTGGATATGGCATGTAGCCCAGTGAGAAGATCTCCCATAGGAGAACCCCAAATGACCTTAGAGAGGCAGATGATGAGGAGGGAGATCAGTTACAGGCAGACAACCAACAGTCGCTTCCTAAATTACAGTATAAGCATCATCAGAACTGAAATGGTAAAAGATGAAAGCAGAGGACAAGAATGAGATGGAGACAAGATGTAAAAAAAACATATGGATAAAGATCAAAGGATGACAGGGGAAGGTGAAAACAAAGAGTTGGGAAGGCCAATTAAACAAGTGTGAAGGATTCTCACCACGTGTCTGTCTTAGATGTGAAGATGCCCTCCATGAAGGCTTCAGGTGGCATCCACTTCACAGGCAGCATGGCACGCCCACCCTTCCTGTAATAACTCGCTCTGTACAAACACACACAAGTTTTGAACTGTCAAATGACCAGTAATGACTTGTAATTTTTCCATCAAATATTAAAAAGTGGAACAACTGTAAAATGAAAAGCGGCATTTGTAATTTGTAGCACCATCACCATGCCAACACCACCCCCTTCAAAAGCTGAGTATATGAAAAATTCTCACACAGGACAATTAATTCACTGTTTGACAGTGGCTGTATCAGCACTCTGATCGAATCACATTTTCAGCTTGCAAATATGTCGGTGCAAGAGACCCTCTAAGAACTCCTTATCTTGCCGAGAGGGAAGCAGGAGATTTTTCACCAGGCTGAGCTCTGGGCCTGTATAGTCTGGAGATACAGGTCTGTCCCTGGGCCTTTTACTGCAGCAGATCTCTGCAGATTATAAGCTATTTTTCGTTAGCCTCTTCCGGCTCTTTGAAACCAGGAACTCACAAAGACGAAGTAGACCACTTGGATTATATAAAAAATAACCGTGCTGGTTTATTCAAAGGATCACAGGTAAAATTAACATTACACGTCCAGCTCCAAACCTGCACGCAGGCAGCCCGGAAGAAGAAAGACCCTGAACCCAAGATCTCTATACAATTTATCTGGTTTGGGCTAACCCCATTCTACACAGGCACGTCAAACCGTGACGTCACCTGATATGCCAGCTTGCAGCTGACCATAACAATAGTCA